AAACATTGAAACTTGTTTATTTATTTGTTTTTGGTACATTTATAGTTGTGAGTGTGTCTGTGCTCCTGAATCAGCCTCTCCTGTCTCCCTCCTCTCCCCCTGCTCCTCTTTGAGGCAGCAGCAAAGACTAGTTTTAGCTAACAAGTTTATCTTGCTCTTTTTTCACCTAGTTAAAACATTTTTTTAATTATTCATCCATATTTTACTAATCACTCCCCATTCAAATGGAAATATGTGTTTACATAAATGGTGACCAAACCGTTTGAGACCCACAGAGAACTTAGACTAAGTTAACTATCTAAACACTCAGAGAGTCCTTTACCTCACCTGAGCTGTAGTTATCAGTCTCTCAGTCTGACTGGAGAGGACTCTCCTCCACCTTGTTGACAGCTCATGATATGCGTTAGCGCAGCTAGCTAGCACCAGATGCTAACAATAACAATACACGTAACCGGTGCACGCGCTTTCTCTCTCGCTCTCGCGCCACACATACATACCCTCCCGAGCTTGAATGACACACAGAGACCAATCGAGGGCATTAGTATGATCTGTATGAAAGTGGCCATGTCGGCAGGCCACATCATGAAGACAGCCAGTCACCCTCTGTGAGGCAGAGTCAGACCCACATTTGCGCAGCGTTGCGTTCACAATCCATACATAAAAAACAGAATCCTCAGGCCAGCAGGCCACTTAACAGGCCAGGCCATCGGGAAACCTCCCGGTCCTCCCGATGGCCAGTCCGGGCCTGCTCTTTATCAGAGTTGGGTGTAACAATATTACTTTTGTCGGTAACGGAGTAGTGTAACGCGCTACTTTTATAATTCAGTAATCACACTACAGTTACTAACATTGCCCCGACACGCGTTACTTCGTTACTTTTATAAAATCACTCATAATCACACTAACAGACAAGAGGGGTTTCCGCCGCAGGTTTATATACGTAATCTGCGCGACTTGCGCGACATGGCTGAGTCAGCGATAACTTTCGAGGGGTGGAGGTATGCCCATTATTTTTGAGTTCGTCCGAAGAATAGACAGGAATGTGACGGTGAGGTTTTTTTTTTTTTAAACAAAATTCAAAAAATATCTGTTTTGCCGATAGCAGCTAGTTTGATGATCAGTCTTTATGTAAAACGTTATTAAATACAACTTTTCTGTGCACCTCACAGTTTGGTGAGGTGCAAACTGTGTCCAGGCCAGAAGCTGTTATCCACTGCTGTAAACACCACCTCAAACTTCAACAAACACCTGCAAAGAACACATGCTAAGTTGAAGCTAATAGCTAAGGACCCCCGAACCCAGAGATGTTGTGAGTGCGCCGCCGCCGACTCCGAAGCAGCAACAATTTGAATTTGGAGGACCGGTAACCAAAGCAGAGATGGACAGGCTTGTAGCATTCTTCATAGTAGAGGAAATGTTGCCCATTTGCACAGTCACCATCGTTCAGAGATATACTGCGCAAAATACAGATAGCAGGAGACAGAGGACAGCCATGTAGGAAAACATTCAGGAGCTATCTGGATCAGTCTTATGCGACAATGGAAACTGAACTAAAGAGAACATTTGAAACTTTAGCAGTCTGCGTGATCTGCCTGTAGGGAGGGGCGGGCCGGCCCTGCGAGTAAAGTAACGAGTAAAGTAATGAGTAAAGTAACGAGTTACTTTATGTAGAGAGTAACGAAGTGTAATATATTATTTATTTGTTTTAAAGTAATGTGTAATATATTACTTCTTTTTAGTAACGACCCCATCTCTGCTCTTTATCTACTCTCTCTGGATATGGTGCACACAAAGAGCAACAGGTGGGAACATGGGGGAGAGGAGGGACACAAGTTTGACATTTCTGGAGATAATCTGTTTGCTTTATCTGCTGGCTGCTCACCTTGTGCCAACACTCTTTAGTACCTACATTTGTGAAGCCCCTGAATGCAGCAGTGGGATAACTAAGTAGCCTACTTTACTTAGGTTAAGTACTGAGCCGTTTCTTCTCATGAAACTTCTACTCCATTGCATTTCAGAGGGTTATGTTTAGGTTTTGCTCAATTAATCGTATTTTAATCGCAATTACGATTATGGCTTGCAACGATTACGAAAACAACGTAATCGAAATAAAACGATTATTTTTTTATTGTTATTACCTTTTTTTTTAAATTATTACTTTTTTTTTCTTTTTCAGTTACTTAAAGTTCAGGGTAATCAACTGTTAAAAACATACTGTTCACATTTCTTTCTCCAATAAATTGATGTTTTCAAAGCAAATGGATAATCGTTTTTAATAATCGTGATATCAATTATTGACCCAAATAATCGAGATTATGATTTTTGCCATAATCGAGCAGCCCTAGTTATGTTATACTACTATTAGGTGACAGTTTTACTTACTTGACAGACTCATCTTTAGGCAGAATTGTCCACAATGACATACAGAGCTCTCAGAGCTGTGAATCAGTTGCTGCCTGGACCAACTGTGAGTGTGACCACAGCATCAGTGTGTGTAGAAGAGAGCTCTCTTAAAAACTCAGTCTGTCACTGTAATGAAGACAGCCGGACGCACGACATTGTGAAGCGTTGAAAATATTCTCTCTCCTTCTGCCTCCTCCCTCACCTGTCCGTCCTATTAAGGCTTTGCTGTCACCTAATCTCTTTCTGTTTTCTCTCTTCTACACATTTTTTATAAATAACAATATTTATTTGATAGAATATTGTTTTTTTTCTTTTTCTGATTTGTGGATTATTCTTTTTATTTTTAAGTTTTATCCATACTGTTAGGGAATAATTTGCTTAGGTATTCAACCTTTGACACAGTTCATAGTTTTCTATATATTTCGTATAGTTCTACGGCCTTGGGTATAGCTGCTATCTCTCTTAAGGAGGGGCAGCTTGGGCGCATTGTTGAGGCTATGACAGAGCACAAGCCGCCATGAGGTCGGTTATTGTTCAGGGACATCTAGAGGCCCTTCTTTTTAGGAACGTAAGTTCCCTGGCGCGCATTCTTTTCTATGGACGACAGCTCTAGTTAGATTCAGGGTCCATATTTGTTTAGTCTCGCTGATGAGGAATGTTGTCTATTACACTCTGAACTAGTTGAAACCTCGAACTACAGAAGACTTCTTCAGAATTGGTTTCGCATCCGCTGTGTCAACTCGTGGCTCAGCACATGTCTTGTGAATTCTCCAGCTGAAGCTCCAAATAAACCATCAGTGTTTGCCATCAAAGTTCCAGCTCTCTCCGTGTCTCTCTGACTCCTGTCTCCATTGCTTCAGAAGTGTCCATCACACATACTTCATTTTGTTTTGTATGCCCTGTAACCAATTCAATTCTTAAAATGCAAATAAATAAATAACAACAAATATATATTTGATCCTGTTTCTCAAAGTAAACCTGCTTGTACTGCAACAGTTAGATCCTCTGCTGATACACATTATCCTCTGTGAATTTGTATTTGATTAACTATACTTAAAGTGGACCTATCATGCTATATTCGAATAATATATTGTAGGGCCATACCTATATAAAATGTCTTTGAAGTTTTTTTTTCAAAATACCAAACAGACATGCATTTTAGCCATGCCTCATTTAGCTCTATTTGCTGTATTCCAGCCCTGTTTTTGGCTGATTCTGTGGTAAATGAGCTGCAGCTGACCTCGCCCCCCTCCTTTGCAGGGGGGCGAGGCACGAGTGTCATGTTACCATGCTGTTATGCCACGCAACCTCTCATTCCCCTGATAGGTGGAGTTTCCCATATAGGCGGAGCTCCTTGTTTCTGACGTCAGAGATATTTCAAATCTGGATCAGTCTGTATCAGATCCGTTGCAGCCCCGTTTTTAGAGATTTGGGTATGGAGGAAAAGAGAGAGGGTTGTGTTTTCTGACACTTGGTGAGTTCCCTGACACACCGGGGACACATATTCATGTATAAAAGACGTACAAAAGTGCATTTTGCATGATAGGTCCCCTTTAAATCTTAATCTTAAGCCCCACGGACCCGGTTCCGGGGCCGAAATCGCGTAATTTGCAGGAAACAACGTCTAAGGAACCTTAATATTTAATAAACTATGAATATTTTATATCCATATAACGGAAAAAAACTCATTTAACTGATCTTTTTCATTTAAAAAAACAAAAACAAACACACAATGCTAACACTGACCCTCTGAATTAGCCGCGAGTGAAAAATGCTAACCTATTACTGCACCGATGGCTTACCTTCGCCTTTGTCTGGTCTAAACTGGTCTTCAATGGCATTAAAACGATGCTGTAGTTAATCCATAGGTTAATATCCAATGTGACTGTGTCCCCTTTGAAATGTTCTGATAATCCATGCGCAAAGACGCCACCTTTTTTTTTTTAACATGAGTGTGTGCGGGACGATTTCCCTTCGATTCTATTGGCTCTAACGGTCGGGAAGAGATGTCACATGTCAAAATCGAGCAAGGGGGGCCAGAGATAAGGAAAATCCACCCAAATGGGCCCAGAAGAGGTTTTGCTAAATCTGTCTAAAAAGGTCAAATATCACTTGTTTTGCATCAATCTTGATACAGGGTACTTATTATATGTTGTACTTTGGATTCCTAAAGCTTTTAGTCTACCATCCCATCATTCAAGGTTAGTTTTCACTATAAGTACAACATTTTGTTTTGGACAGACACTATAATTTACAGTTTTTTACCATGTTCAATCTGAATTTTCTTTAAAATAAAAAACATCTATATTGATTCTGACTTTTCTACATCCAACTCACAGGTTTATCATTACTTTGAGAAAAAAGATTATTAATTTAACCCTTTTAGAAGGGAAGATATGGTCATTTGTTCTGGGAATGTCATTTTCGAGCCTGAAACCTGAAAAACAGGCTTGGGGCTTAACAGGTAAATTTGTCCTTGCATTTGCACTTCATACCAGGCACACCTTTTATAGATTGAGGTTTGCAGAGTATCCCAAATGTAACATGAAGTCCCTTTACAGCCCATTAAGCCCCTCGTCCCTCTCCCCCCGCTGCAGGAACCGCTCTGGTCCTGGGCTGCTTGATCTACCCTGACGGCTGGGACAGTGACGAGGTGAAGCGGATGTGCGGCGAAGAGACGGACAAATACACGCTGGGGGCCTGCTCGGTGCGCTGGGCCTATATCCTGGCCATCATGGGCATCATGGACGCCCTCATCCTCTCCTTCCTGGCCTTCGTCCTGGGGAACCGGCAGGACGGTCTGATGTCTGACGAGCTGCTGGGGGAAAGTAAGAGAATAAAACCTTCATGGGTCATAACACAGAAGAGGACACAGAGTTTAGACGGTGCTGTAGCAAGCAAGGAGACTATTGTGTACAGTTTTCATGGTCAGGCTCTCAAAATCATCATGAAGTGGCATTTTAATCTCCAAAGGGACTGAGTAGACCAAGAAAAGTAATAGTGACGCAACAAATACATTACTTAAAATGACTTTGGGTTTTTTTCCAATTGTATATATTGTTAGAGGCCATTAATTGATAACCATGACAGGAACCAAGGGAAAACACACAAAGCCTTACTCTTGACAGCTTTGCCAAGTTAAATCTAAAGCTCATAACACCTTCTCCACTAGATGTGTTGCCATTTCAAATTGGAAACACCAAAAGATTGGTAGTACATTTTGTAATTAACAATAAAATAAAAGCTGTAGTGAATTAAAACCTGAAATGAGATTCAGGCTATTTTCCCTGAACTTATTAGAAAATCCATATGACCTGAACGTGTGCTCCGAGTCTGAATTGTATTCCACTTTTGGCTCGATATTATAATTCTTCAAAGTTGTAATGCTCAAGTCCAGGCTAAGTCAGTGTTTTTTGAGTCAATGAGTTAAATGTGTGACTTGTATCCACACCTCTGCTATCATTTAGTGCTTAATAAGCCTTTCTAGTATGGCTCCGTACGTCAGCCAACAGCTTGAAATGGAAATCCTAATTTCCCACTCTGAAATTATTCATTTAATGGTTGTAATACACCACCTGCTTGCTTCTTTTGGGCGAAATGACAACTGGACTCAGACCCAAAGAACATTAAAGGAGGCAGGGAGGAGAGGAGAATACTGATGAAGAAGGGCAGAGATGAGAAGCAATGAGAGGAGAGGAAGAAAAAAATGAATGAATTTACACCGATAGCAAGGGTTAATTGAAGCCTGGGGACGCTGGACAGAGTCATGAATTACTAATGGCTGTTTATACAGCTTGCTGCCAGCCTGTCGAAATGAATCACAGCCACACTATCAGCCTGTTAGCTCCTATAGGCACAAAAGACTAGGAGGAAGAAGCCATTATAAAGAGGGAAGGACAAGACGGAGAAGGATAATGAGCCGAGGAGGAGGGAGACAGATGTGCGCGAAGTATTGCAAATCAAAGTGAAACATGGGGGATTCATCAAACAGGAGATCAAGTTTAAATGGGATGTTTTCCTGTCTTGTCAATTAAGGAGAATGGATAGTGACACCTGTCCACAAACATCAATGTGTTTGTTTTAATTCATGCATCCTTTAGGGGGGAAGATGATTGATGTAACACTGCCACCTGCTGTTTAAGTAGATGGGTATCTATCCTGTCCATGCTGAATTGTTCTCTTTGTTTTTACCCACAGAGAGCGGCAGTAACGCCATATAATACCTGGTGATGATCAAGCACAAAGAGGTAAGGATCATACTAAAGTTTTGGCAGATATGTTTAGTATCTCTGGAAAGTTATTTTGATGATAGAATAGTGTTTGATTGGTTTCAACTGAGCTTGTTTGCAGAGTTGATCATTTCTGATCTAGCAGAACATATTTCCTGCAACCGCATGCTCTTAAAGTAATCTTTATTATCATTATAATTATCATAAAAAGCAGCAGTAATCACAATCAATTCAAAATATGTATTCATAATCAGATCAAAAATAATCATCATGTAACGACTTTGTTTATTTGGATTTTAACTTGGCTATTTTTACATAAATCAGCACTTAAATAACAAAATAACAATAATTACGTATCCACTAATTATAATCACTTTGATGGTGGTATATTTGGCATATCCAAATGTATTTGTGCAATAATTGGATGGTGTGTGTATGCGAGTGCACCATGGGGCTTCCCCTTTACATTTTTCAAACCCATACAAAGCAAATACCTTTTTAAAAGGCTTTATCAGTGAACTAATGTGCAAACCAGAGGGAATATCTGCTTTATATTGATTTTACACAACATGAATGCCAGCAGATTCTAAATAATTTTCTTTTGCTGCAGGTCTTGTTACCTAAACCAGCATCTCTCCTGGTCCAACCTGTGGCTGGGAAGCAGAGCTGATGTGTGGGGAAAGAACAGGTCAAAGGTCAGGTCTGTCTGGAAGAGCCCACATCACTTTGGTGGAGACCAGGATGCCGGCTGTCTTCTCTGAAAGCCCCCCCCCCCCCTCCTCCCCCTCTGTAAAACATCCTTCTCATTCATCTCACACTGCTCCTTTTTACAGGATGGATTCATAAAATAACTTTTTTAAGATTACCTGTGTTATGTCGCTGCATTATCTTACGTTCAGATTGACATGTTTGTCCGTTTGGATGAGAGGAAAGCGAAAAGGTGAAAAGGTTCAGGTGGAGAAGAAAATATTTAAAAGACTATTGAAGGACATATCAGCTCCCACACACCACGGAGCAACAGCTGCTTAAATAGATTAAAATCACAAGAAATGATCCAGTCTCTGACGGACAGAAATAAGGACTTAACAGACTTGAGGTCGGATCTTCTTTCTTATCAAGACAACACACTTTGTTCTGGGCTTTGACATAGAGTGAGGACTAAAGAAGATGCACTTGATAAACGGAACAGAAACAACAGTACTGCTTTGTTAAAAATAAATGTTTGATGTGATAAATTCAATGGTAGTAATGTAAGGTGTTGCTAGTGACAACTTTGCAAAATGGATACTAAGTAGAAGAAAAAAACATGAATTGTATCAAGTCTAAAATATGTGTGTATGTTTATTATGTCCCTGTACATTGATTTGAAGTGTACACTTTGTGTCAAGCTATTGGTCCTTTATTAGTGTGTGCCATACAGTATCTTGTAATTTGACAGTATTGTGGAGTACTGAACATAAACTGAAGCTGGATACGGCTGTTTGTTACCTGCCATCTCGTTTCCTGGCGTTTTTTCAGTCTCACAGCTATGAAGGCCATTTTAGAGCTAAACAAACATTGGTAAAGTTAGTTTTAGGTTGGATATCAAGACACAGTGGCAACACAAAGTGCTTCACAAAAACACATAGTATTGTTTCTATTTGTGCATTTTCTATCTCCCCCTTCCTGGTTAGTAATCAGTGTAACACATAGCTTTGTGATTAAAAATATATCTATATATACACAGTATAGATTTTATAGTACGTTGAATATTTCCACAAGAAAAACACATGTTGAAAATATGCAAAACAACGACATAGTTTAGTATTTTGAAAAAAAGCCCAAAAAGGACATGGTATAGAATGTCAAAAATATGCAATAAAAGTCATAGTAGAGCATGTCGAATATTTCAAAAAACAACATAGTATGTCGATTCTTAAACGACACAGAATAGTATCTCGAGAATTTCATTAAAAATGACATAGTATGTCAAATATCAGAAAAAAAGGCATAGTATAGTAAGTCTAAAATATGACAAAAAAAGGCATAGTATAGTATGTTATAGTATATAAAACGGCATATGTCGAAAATAGCAGAACAAATTTGCAAAACACATAGTATGTCGATTATATTAAAAACATTTTAAAAAACGACAGTATAGAGTGTCAAATATTTAATAAAAACAACATAGTATAGTGTCGAATATTTGCAAAGAAATGAGATAGTATCAGTGGCGAGCCATCAGGTCCCTTTAGGCCCTCTCTGATGGCCTAAGACAGTGGTTCCCAAACTTTTTCTTCTTTCTTTGGAGAAAAAAAAAAGTCGGGCCCCCCCAACACAAGTCAGGCTCAGTGGCGGCGCCAGAGATTTATTTTGGGGGTGCTGTGAGGTAGCTTGACGTTTCATAGAGGGTGCTCAAACATTTAGGGTTTCCCATTAATGTACCGGGCGCTACAGTGGAATTTTCTACTGCAACAATCCCCACGCAAATACACAGTGTACCCGCGACTGTTACAATGAAGGCTCGATATGAGCTCAAGGCATATAGGTGTAAGCAGGGGTAAAGTGCTATTTTTATAGGTGGTGTGTGGACCTCACATAGGGAGGATTTATTTTTAAATATTGAAGTTAAATGCATCAATCTGGTGCACTTTGAGAGCAAAATGAAGAGATCTATACAGCTCTCAACACCCATTTGAAACAGACCTGTAAACAGATTTTATTTTTCTTTATGGATATTTTACAAATCACCCTTTTAAACTTTATTCTTTTTTTTACTGTCCTCTAGTATTTCATACCTGTTTTTCATTTATTCTCATTTTTTTATAACTATAATGATCATATAAACGTGTGTGTCGAAAATAATTGTTTACCAAATCGTTTGAGACCCACTGAGATAACACTGAGGGAGTCCTTTAGCTCACTGAGTCTCTCAGTCTGACAGGAGAGGACTCTCCTCCACCTTGTTGTTGAAAAAACTCCTTATATCCGTTAGCGTAGCTCGCTAGCACCAGAAGCTAACAACAATGATCTCCGGTACCGGTGCGCTCTATCTCTCTCGCTCATGCACGCACACACAATGGCTCGTTCCACACACACAGAGCCGAGCTTTAATGAAACAGAGACCCAGACGTAATAGTACTGTACTGTATCATATTATTTTCGAATCAATAATTTTTCAAGTTATGATCTTTTGTATAACCATTTTTCTTCCTGGTCTCTCGCTTCTCCCCTGGCATGCCTCTGTGCCCCCCACTTTGGGAACCACTGGCCTAAAATATTCTACAAAATAATATTTAAAAACATTAATTTTTTTAAATATTTTTTTAGTTATATTTTTCATTAGTTTTAACATTTCCAAATAAATAAATCCTTCAAATCTGCCTATTCAGTTTCTGTTTCAATGTGAAGGGTTAAATGAAAGAAGCTCGTCTCTGCGAGTTACTGTGAAGACAGGAGCTGATTAATTCGTAGAGGGCCCGCTATAGTAACTCAACGAGAGAGTAAAAAAGTCTAGCTATAAAAGTCACGGCTCGCCACTGCATAGTATGTTGAAAATATGCAAAAATAATTACAGTATAATATGTCGAATATAAAAAAACGACATTATAGTATGTTGAAAATATGACCAAAAAAAATGTCGAATTGTGCATAAAAAAGGCATAGTATGTTGAAAATAAAATATACAACATAGTATGGCATGTCGAAAAATATGCAAATATATATAATATGAAATAAAATATGAAGTAAAATTACAACTAAGTGCATTATAATTTAAAAGGTGAAACTATACAGTGTGTAGAGTGAATTATTTCAAGTGTTTTTTGTTTTAATCTGGATGATTACGGTTTACAGCTAATTCAAATCCCAAATTCAGAATCTATGAAATGAATGAAAATTCAAATATTACTCAAGACCATACAAACACCTGTTTATTACTACAGAAATGTCGGCCTTCTGAAAAGTATGTATGCACAGTAGTTGGTTGGGCCTCATTTTTGCATGGATCACCGCGGCGACCAGCCTGTGGCTCTGCTGAGGCGATGGAAGCCAAGGCTGCCTTCAGCTCTTCGGCATTGTTGGGCTGCGTCTCACTTCGGTTACATGGATTCCTTGCGTCCCTCACTTGCGTCGTTTCCCTGCGTTTAGTCCCTCCCACAAGGGAAGCATGGAGAGACCGAGAGACGCAAGGAAACCACGAGAAGCAGGGAAATGAGTTTTAAGAGCAATGGGACGTCCTTTCCTCCGGAGCGTCACGTGAAGCGACGTCCGTTTGTGATGACACCGAGCAGCTGATGTCTGACAGCAGCTCCGTCCCCGTTGTTTTCACACACCCCCGCCTCTGTTAGTACACATTTACTGACATATACATTTGTATCATCTGTTGTAGACCCAAATAAATCAAATAAGGACTCATTCTCAAAAAAGATAAACGCCATTCTTAAAATGTATAAACGAAAAAAGCGAACATGAAAATGTTTCCAATAAATGAATAAAATAATTTTTGCCCACATTGTTGTTCAGATATATCACATATTTGTAACTAAATGTTACATTAATTGAAACAAAACACAGTATAAACTGAGGAGTGACTCGTGAGTTTCATGTATTTTCTTCACTCCGCTGGGAAACTGCTCTCATGTCAAGAAGCATCAGATCAGTGCATGAACGGCATCGTCCAATCAGTGAGCGATACAGTAAGGGGGCGGGGCGAGTGGCTGAGGATTTCAGCGGAGGTTCCTCGGTTATCGCTTCTCCATTATCGCTCCTCGATCCTCCGGCAGAAATAAGAGCCATGGGACGCTACTCAAGATGGCGCAGACAAATCAACTTCCGGTGATACCGAGGACGGAGGAAATGAAAATAACCGACCTGAGACGCCGTCTCTCATCTTCCTCTTGACACCCCATGAAGGTTCAGGTCAGGTCAAGCATAGTAATTCCCTGTCATAAAACCAGGTATTGTTTCTTTTGGCAGTGTGGCAAGGGGCCAAGTCCTGCTGGATTACAATCTGCATCTCCAAAAAGCTTTCGATGTTGTCATTCCTTTCTGAACATTTCGACTATGACTTTTTAAAAATATTTAACATATTTATTATGTTTTTCCCCCTGCATATTATGCTGACTTTTTCCAATATATTTCACTTACTTTCTAAAAAATAAATAATTTTACATTGTTGACACTACTTTGACTCTTTTGCAAATCTTACCATGACTTCTTCTTCTATTATTATTTCCACAGACTACACCATTTTTTCCATGATAATGTTGACGTAACGTACTGTGACTTGCTGGTTTTTAACATAGTACCTTACAGTGTAAAAGGTAACCGCCTTTTCCTCCTGAAGGTAGAATGCTGTGTTTGCAGCTAAAGCAACCTACACAAGTTTCCCAGAGACACATGACACAACGAGTTGTATAAAACTGTCATTACAGTGATTTATTATAATGAACCATGAAAATAGCCAACCAGTGCAGTGTCTGTGAGACTCTCCCCTTCACACAAACATACACTCACACAAAAATAATAAAAAAGACAAAGTTGAAGAGTCCAGAAGAGAAAGAAATGAAAATGCTACAGTCACAGAAACATTCAGCCTTGCCAAGAAGAGCGTTCGTATTTACAACCATATTTCCAAAAATGGGATGGGAGCAATTTGTACCAGCATAGAAAAGAAAAGAAGCGATTATTTACAACCTGTTCCTGGTGAAAGCTGGAGTAACCTCCTATACATTAAATTACACTTTCTACAAATAACCATTGATATTCAAAAATAAACCGCTAACGTCCTACCTGTGGGCGAGACAACTCTGCCTACCTCAGAAGACTAAAAGCACTCACAAGAAATCACACACACATACTCTTTAAGCAGACATACTCTTTCACACCCTATAACACACACACACACACGCACAGTGCAGCCTTCCGGGTTGGTGACGCAGGCTACCAGTAACGGGTCTTTTCTGAATCTGCAGCGGTGAACAGATATACGTTGTTAGACAGAGGAATACAAAAAATAATTGTGTTTTTTCTCTATACAAAAAGCTTTCTCTTTGCTATAATGAGCCACTAGATAAAAACAAATAAATGGTGAAGAGAGCCGACAATAGACGAGAGAGAAAAGGGTGTAAAAGGAATAACTGACAAAGGAGGAAGAGGATGAGGAAGAGGGGGGTATAGGCTGGAATGTCCATTGATAAACAAAGTGCGGAGCCTTACAACAGGGGTCCAAACAAGACACAGAACAGTTTTCCTCTCCATCACAGGAAGGATATATAAAAACAAACGGAGGCCAGATGAGCACCAGGGGAGATCGTCCATCTTCATTTTTATACAGTTTGTCATTGTCCTTTTTTCTAACATTTTCCGTTCTTGTTGTTTTTTTAAAAAGTAACCTTTTATCCCACCGTCAGCTGTTTTTCCACTGGCCACGTGTTCAGGTACATAGAAAACATATCTACAGATTATGATACAGGCCCCTCTCAGGAAGAGTTCTCAGGGGCGGTCAGTGCCAC